GTCACTCACAAGTTAGTTTGATGTTACGTACATTATTAACATTACAGAATCCACATATTCCTGCCAGTTTTAATATGTATTTTGTAATCAACAAGTGTGTAACACCGGTCAAAGTTTGACACTTCTCTGGCCATTATCTCCGTAACCGTTCAACTTTGGACATAGGTGTTTTGGGTTATATCGGCATACTTTAACATAAGGAACACCCTCCCGAAGTTTGGTCCATTCCTCCTGGGACACCCTGCATACAGGTCTCTAATGTTCTTGTTATTACTGTTCATTGCAAGCTCATCAATTTTGTCTTTCAGATATTCCCTCTTTCTGTTCCTGAATTGCCTGCTCATTTCACGTCTTTTATTGTTCAGATTATCCCCATTTATTTCACTTGGATCCTGTAACCACTGCAATTTGGCTTGTTTCCTTCATCAAACTGTGGCTTATGCCTCTTCAGTTCATAATAACCTAGACTCTCTTTGGCAGACATGTTTATATTCTTTCTAATAGTTCCCCAAGCTTTATTAACATCCACCTCAGTTTCCAAGTTTTCCAAAGCTGCAAAGCTATTTGAGATTTCAACACAATACTGCTCTCTACCCTCTACCTCATTTAATTTGAGATTGAATCTCTCCATATGAACTCTTGTGTGTTGTTTGTTTGCTCACTGCCAGTCTTTCCCTAACCTTTGCCACAACCAGGCAGTGGTCAGTATCACAATCTGCTGCCCTGAATGGTACAACAATAAAATAAAATAAAAACATATATTTTATGAAAGTATCAAGTGTAAACCCCAGTTCTGTTAAGTCACAATATAGCGCAAACATTGTGTAAATGTCTCTTTCACAAATTTATTTGAACTACTTTTGTTCTTAATTATGTTTTGAAACTATCTGTAATAATGGCAGACTAAAAATTACTCTAAATGCACAGCCATCTTGATTTCCATCACTGCATTAAACTATATGTTAAATTCCTCTGATAGCAAATATTCTGTACACGAATACTTTATAAGTTAAGAAATATTTTTCGAGAATACATCCCACTCTCCAAGAATCATTTAATTCCATACTAGAAGTCTACTGCCTATAAAGTTTGTACATGCAAAACTTTATGAAAGAATTCTGTAACAACTATGTTATTTAGGGTTTACCTTTTGGAGGTCTGTCAAACACGGACCTCTGAATCACTGTGGGCATCAGTGAGTGCAGTGGAATTATCTGATAGCGGGCTGAAAGCAGTATTAACATTTGTGACAACCATTACCTGAAACACTTTAGATAATAAAACTTTTAAACAATCATACCCCAGAGCAGGGTTTGTTTGAGATACCTGGTGATTTACAAACATGCAGATAGCTCAGTCAGTATAGGGACCAGACTACAGGCTGGACAGCTGAGGATGGATTCCTGACAGGGCAGAAGATTCTTCTCTTTGACTCTGTGACCATCAGCAATGGAGCTGAATAGCCTCCTATCTAATTGATACTGTGGGCTCTGGCAAGTGGGCTGGAGGGTGAAGATGACCATTCCCATCCATCTGGGCTGTGCTATAGCTCAGAAAAGTTAACTGCTGGCACAATTCAGGTCAGGTGGGATTTGTGGTGGACAAGTGGCACTAGGGCAGATTTTCTTTGAGTACTTCAGTCTCACCTGCCAATTCTCATTCCACCAACTGCCCCAGATTCATTAACTGTCCTATACATCAACTCTTAAGCATTGATACTGGAAGGTTGTAAAACAAACATACACATATAGTGTCAACATTAAGAATATATGCAGCTACACCTCCAACCCCATGTCTCTATAGTGTGGTGCTTAGTTATGCACAGGGGCAACTGTACCTCTTTTTACCTGCAGGTGGATATAACAAGAATTACTTAAAAGTGAACAGAAATCTTCAATAGAAAATGAATCTTTATCATAAAGATTGAGGTATTAACTATATTATAGGGCTGGCAGTCATATTTTAATTGTGGACTGACAGCTTATCATGCAGTAACTGGGTATTTTTAATTTCTCATTATTATGAGCATGGCCACATTTTTACTTTGTTGTAGTGGAATGGGGGGGATACTGAAAAAAGAAATTTGCTGGACCATGCATGTGTGCAGCTGTAATAATGTGATGCATGGACAGTAAATATTAATGGGCCAAAATTATTAGGTGACATGAAATAACTGGCTTTGTACTGGATGAATAAGCACTACTGTGTTGAGGCAAGCTCTGCAATCCACCCTCCTCTCATCCAATGGCTACAGCATGTAAAGCAACCAAAGTGTGAAAATGACCTCTACCTAGTACCCATGGCTCCATACATATACAGCTTTACCTCCATGCTCTTTGCAGACTTTATGGCGCAGTGAAAACTATCTGTTCCCATCAATTTACTTCCACTTCCAGGACAACTGGAAAACTGGGGTTTGATTTCCAGCATGGGTGAAGATTATTTTCTTCATCATTGCATCCATTGGTCTGGGGCCCACCAAGCCTCCTATTCAATAAGCTGCAGTGGCTCTTACCCAGGAATGAGTGGGGTGTCCTGTTAACCTCATTTCAAGTTAGTGTTGAAGGTTAAAAAAGACTGAAGCCCTCTACAAGAAGGTGAAAGCTCAGAGTGAGCTACACTGCCAATCTTTACCTTCCATTGGACTAATGAACAAAACACACAAACATTACTTTGACCTGCGCATACATTAACCAGTCAAGTGGTTCTTTTTTGTGTCCTTATCTCTCCCATAGCGGCATATTGAATTCCCCCTGGACATTAAATTTGTCACTGCGGCATTTAATTTTATAATTTTTGCTCCCTTTTTAAAATGCGACATCTCAATCATGTGTTATTATAATATTACTGAACAGAAAGCCTCTGAAAGACAAATTATCAAACTTCACATACCTGTACTTTCATTTCTATAGCCATTACATTAAAGTTTACATATATTTTTTAGTAAAATTCCATACTTATGGCTTTATTCTCAAAAAATCCGCCACTGTTAACACTGACTTCCATTTCCGTTCAACGTACATGATCTAACACGTATGCCTGAGTTGTGCATAATCAATATATGTGTTCTTGACTGGGGTCGGGTGTTCAGAAATGAAACACAATCATAACAGTCAACTGAAAATCTGTGTAGCGACACTGTGTATGCCTCACTGATAAACAGAGTTTCTTATTGCCACGTGGGCTTAAAAATTGTACTTCTCTTGCAAGCTGAAGGCTAGTACGGATGAATGAACTGAACTGTCCTTCCAAACATCACTAAAAAATCGTTATCTTTTACAGACTATGAAATTGTCACTAAAACATTTATACCACCAGAAACATTGCTGCAACTCAAGTGGCAGACACTGTGAATTATTTATAATTATGTAGTTTTCAATACCAGAACTGCGACTGGCCCTAGATTTTAGTGTTAGGTTATAGATGTGCTTTCTAAGAATGTTTGGGCATACCAATTTGTTTCTCTGGCTATTACTTCTGTAATGTCTGGTGTACAAAACAACTCAAAATATTCTGGGATCTTCTAAACCAACATTTATACCAGGCTTGCCAGTAAATGGAAAATGTGGTTGCTCAGCACCTGAATTTGCCCATATGTCAGGTGGCATGCTACTGCTGTCGCTGACATTTTGTTAACCACCTAACAAAATTTTCACATTTATTTCATTATCATTACTATATTCACTCTCTGAAATACCACTGTATTCATTCTCTTGTAACAGTTCTTAAAACGCCTCATCATTTACACACATCTTCTTGGTAGGACCTGCCACAATGTATAGTTGAAAGAACTCCAACCCAGGACAGCTATCAAGCAAGAAACAACTTCCTGTCACACTCTGAAGTAGCTAGAATGTTTTTCAAGTACAATGTACAAGTTTCCATTGCTGACTGGCGTTATATCTACAATGAAGTAGTTAGAAACATGCTTGGAGTCTATACACATCATGGCCACAGTACAGCACATCTACTGATTTCATGACCACTTGACTGGTTAACATGGATGAGGTCTTGCGTGGCAAAATAATGCTGTGTGGGAAAGAGATTCTTAGTACTTCATCAACGAGAGGTACACCCTTTATTCACGTCAGTGTATTTTATGTTTATAAAATGAAACAAACTCCTAACCTACAAATTCTTTTATCCTATATCAAGCTGTTATGAGACCAAATTTGATAATTTTTATGAAAGCTAACACAAATTATTTTTCATATAAAATATTCACATTTTTGGTGTAAGAGTATTTGCATGCATTCACACATGCATGTGCACACACAGAGAAAAATGTGTAAACTGCATAAACTGGAAATTACACAATTAACAACGGAGTAAGATTTTCAAGGCATCATACGTAGGTAAGTCAATAAGTAAATTACAAATGGCTATAGAACTTAAACAAATAAGAGTACTGATTTCAAAAATGCTTTTATTTCTCAACATAATATCCCTGTACACTGAGGTACTTGTCCCATTGTTTCACAAGCCCCTGAAAATCAGCAGCATAAAATTATTTGGGCTGCTGTCAGAACCAAGCGGTGACTTCCCTTTCTACAGCTTCATCGTTGGGAAAATGTTCAGCCGAAAGATGATGCTTAAAGAGGGCTGAACAAATGGAAGTCACTTGGAGTAAGCTCAAGGACTTCCCGCTTGAAATTTTGCAGCGTCTCATTTATCTTGTTGGCAGTATGGGGACACGCGTTGTCATGCAAGAGCAACATGCCTGGTTCTGACAGCAGCCCAAAGAATTTTATGCTGCTGGTGTTCAGGGGCTTATGAAATGATGGGACAAGTGCCTCAATGTACAGGGAGATTATGTTGAGAAACAAAAGCATTTTTCAAATCAGTATTCTTATTTGTTTAAGATCTATATCCATTTGTAACTTACTTATTAACTTACCCTCGTATATACACAGAAAGGTTATGAATCTGCTTCAGATTGTACTTACAGGATGGAAAATTGACGCTTTCTTTAAGCAATTTGTGCAAACTAGAGATCTTATCCCAACCAGGTAGGAAAATTAAGATTGCACCATCATCTTTTGTGACACATATATGCTGAATCAGAGCAACAATTAGATCCAAGTTTATTTCTTCTGATTCAGCACTTTTCAGCATCTCCAACACACGTGATGAATATTTACCCTCTGATGCGAGATACCTAAAAGGAAAGTAAAGCAACAAATGCAAGATTTTAAAAAATTCCATACCAGGGACTGGCAATTTTTCTATTCTTACGTCCTGCCGACGATATGTGATATTAAAGATTACATACTTAGAATTTCTTTTGTTGCACAGTAATTGAGACTAGCTCTTTCTAATGGGCCCAACTATGAGGAGCCTTGCCCCCTTTATACTTGATGATGGAAACACATCCAGCTTCCAAAAATGAAATATCTCCAGTGAGGGACAATGACCGAAATTACGATGGGGTACCCAAAAGAAACCGAACTAATTTTTTTGTGGGCAGAGCTTTTGTAGTACCGCGTTTTGCTGTTATGAGCGCATATAGCTAACATTCCTGAGTTGATAAGCTGATTACTGTTGCTTCAGAAGGTAAGGACTAGTTTCGGCAGAGTTTATAGTGACAACTATTTTGAGTGATCGTCGTTTTTGCAATGGCTAATTTTCATGAACAGCGTGCGGCGGTGAAATTCTGCTTTTTGTTCGGGAAAAGTGGAACAGAAACTCTTGAAATGTACAAGGACGATGCTATGGTTTGAGTGGTTTTCCCATTTAAAAAATGGTGAAATGTCAACTGATGACAAACCTCGTTCTGGTCGTCCTTCCACGGCCCAAACACATGAAAATGTTGAAAAAATTCGTGAAATCATCAAGGAAGATCGATGACGGACCATTGAAGAAATTGTGGAGCTGTCGGGAGTGACTTGGAGCTCAGCGACCAGATTTGTGGCAGTCGGGTGACTGGTTTTTCCATCATGACAATGCCCCTGCTCACACAGCCCTGTCTGTACGATAATTCTTGACCAAAAATGGTATGACCCCTGTTCCTCACCCTCCATACTCACCCGACCTTGCCCCGTGTGACTTTTTTTTTGTTTCCTCGAATGAAAAGAGACATGAAAGGAAAAAACAACGGAGGTGCTGTCAACCATCTCAAAAGATGAATTTAGACAATGTTTTGAAAAATGGAATAAAAGACTAGACAAGTGTATTAGTGTAAGTGGAGAGTACTTTGAAGGGGATTGAAGGTTTGTGCTTAAAATTTGAATAAATAAGTTTAAAAAAAAATAAGTTCAGTTTCTTTTGGGTACCCCCTCGTATAATCATGCTCAAATGCAATAACATTTTCACATTCGATACAGTTCAGAAGATTCAACAGGCCCTAACTAACAACATACACAATGTCAGCAACAAAGACTGGTCTGACCAGTTTCCCAGTAGAACTCTTGTATGGCATGTGGACATGAATGAAAAATCAAGTAAAATATTAGCTTCAGCATCTTGCAGAATGGTTTCTATCAATGTGTTCAAATATCTTCATCATATGCATCCTGTTGTATATCATCATTAACCCTTTAGTTCCGGGCTCAGTGCACTGCACCCCATCAGTTTCTGTCACATGCCGCCGGTGTCAGTGCAGGGTACGCGTATTGCAGCTCTAAGTTCCAGCTCGTATTTTGAACTGTTGTCAGTCATGTAAATTAATTCTTTTGGTATGAAATTAAAGAGGAAATTTGAGGCTATCATTTCATATATTCACTGTCCCACTTTGAACTTCCTGTGGGAGTTGCAATACATTTCAATTCTTTGAAAAAGTTTTCTATTTCAACACTTGGTGCGCTTGTTACCATACAAACCTACCTCTGCCTAGGGGAATTCTTATGAACTAAATATGTTAGATCGATACTGTGTACTCTCCTCTATCCTGATCAAATGAAAAGTCGATTCTCTTGAGGCATATTCTGAACTGTGCTGCTTCAACATTGGTATTTGTAACTACGAGAAGACACGCGGAGAATCTACGACTTTGAGACGTGATGTTGACTCTAATAAGTGTGTTTTGACTGCTATTGTAGCAAATGATAAGCAGTTCGCTATATGAATGATACCATTGTACCCCCTTTTGTTCTATAAATACGCATCACGCAATCTGGTTAGCCAAGGCCGGCTGCAAGGAATGAAGTGGCCAGCTGTGTTGTGTCATGACCAGTACAACAGCCGTTCAAACCACTCTGGTCACGCCTGTTGCTATACGAACTTGAACCATCTCGAGCATCATTTTCTCTGTGCTTCAAGTCGCCGCTGATGACGCTGCTTCCGGCATCAGTTTTCGGTCTCTCTCTTCGTCTGATGCCTACCCTTTGACCTGTCCAGCAAGGGAGGCCCTGCCAGTAGCTATGCTACCGCTGGTATAGCTCTCAGGGTCCTTGGCATACTCAAACACCCTCACCACGATAAGGTGGAGACACCAACGAGGGGTGGAGAATATATATACTTCAAATTGAAACAGAACACAGTTTTATCAGATTCGGAATTAGACACTGAAAATAGATGTTTTTGCTTTTCTCGATTCTATAGTAAATGACAGAATCGAGCACACAAATGACAGCACACACATCCATTGGGAGAATATGCAAAACTGTAAGGGACAAAAAGAAATTTCTGAATGTGATGATAATATGTAGGAATAACAGAAGGAAAAGAATAGCTCAATTGTCAATCAGAATTCAGTTAACTGAGGGACTCTTTGAAATATGCTAATGCTGTAGAACACAAAGTGCCAGATCAACACTCGTCTAACAAAACAGTGCACTGTCTAAGAGAAAGAAATTTTATAAGCAGGATTCCACCAACTCAAAACCACACAAACGGCATGTTGTGTGTCAAAAACTGTGTACTGGTGTGACACGTGTAATGTGGGACCCTGTGTGGAATGTTTTCATGACTAACACACCCAGCTGAACTTCTAAGGTAATAAGATATTATCATTCATAATGTTTATAAGCTTACTGTGCCAAAAATAATTTTAAAGCAGTGAGGATCAATACACTGATTCTATATACATTTCTGAATGTAGTGTGAAAATTAGAAAAACAGAACTCCAGTTTTTCCCAATTTATTACACTTTAAGTGAAATGTTGCACTCTCCGATTTAAATATTCTGTGGCATACGAGTTCAGTAGGAATTTAAATGCCCTTCAGCGGTGAAGGGTTAACGGCAAAGGATTTAGCCATTGACACAATAATATTTAATGAAGCCAAGGTAATTCTCAACAATTACCTTGGCTTATTTAATTAAATATTGTGTTGATGGCTAAACCTTTTTCAGATAATGTTCAAATATGAAGCTGATGAGTTTACTGTAAATAATGGTCTGTCACTTGATTTGCTGTTGGGCACATTTTTTCCAGTGGATTCTCAAACAACAGTTTCCATGGATACAATTTCTGTACCACTGTCATGATCCCATTGCTTGTAAGCTACTACTGTATGGAAAATCCACACACACCTTCCTTTGCCTGGATTAATATGACTGGTTGAATCTCTGAGAGGAGGGGCTTGCATAAGCATATATATATATATATATATGCTATAAAGAAAACTATTACATTCAAAACAGATCATTAAATGAACTTAAATGACTATTTTATCCCATCAAACAACTAACATCAAGGGCTTTCAAAATAAAAAAAATTACTAAGTAACACAAAGAGGCATCATATTTCCTAAATGTTACCAAAAGATACCACACCTAAAACCAATCTTAGGGGAATCTGAAGCAGACTTAAGACCTTTCAAGAATCATACAATATGTATGCTCACATTATGTCACTTAGGATTGATTAACAGAGGTATAATCACAGTAAAGTGCAATGTGGAATTTTGTAACCACTCTCCCCAGAAGAAATTCACCCAGAATCATCAGTGAGAATTTATACCTTTCTGGAAAAGTAAGAAGTGATGCTAAGATCTGACCAAAGCACAAATTTTTGTACTCCCCATTTTTTTCTTGTTGTGTGTCCTAATGTTCTGACCAAATATGGATGTCATTATTCTGTAAGGCTTAAGTAATTAAAACCGTAACTAAAGCTTTTAATCCATGTGTGCTGTAGTTCCACCTTCATTACCTATTCCAAAACCCTGCCTGCACGCATATATGCACACACCATCTGCAAGGAGCCACACTGGTGCTGGAAAATGCTGTATCACACCTAAAGAAGGGTGACTTAATGTCCAAGCGGCGATGTATTTTCCTGACATACTAGCATAACATCACACTGTCTTCCACATCAGAATCATTAGCCTGAAATAATTCTTCTAGAAGAACAAGAACAGGAATATAGTGGTACCTTCCATTCAAGCGTTCTAACTAAAATCCCGCTTATATTTCTCATTTGCCCCATGTATGCTACAAGCCTCACCCATATCATCCTTTGTTAATTTGATTACATGATATGGTAATACCTGATAAACAGTACAAATTCATGTGAATCAAATGCTGATTCATAAATGTACGACCCTTACCTCACATATGGCTCAATGAAATTTTCAAATTCCTGAACTTTCCTTACTCTTGCTTTGACAAATTTCAAGTGTTTCTTCCATCCTTGAGTATCTGGTACTCTTGTTGGTTCAATCTCAAACCTTAAAAAGAATCATACTATCATGAAATATGTAAACACTGAAACAGCCATCCAAACTCCATCTGGTTATTACTTATATTACAAACTAAAGTTATATGACATGTTTAAATCTGAACATAAGTGACCATCGTCATGTTATAAGTGTACAAGCATCTCTTGACTTAAATTTATGTGAATTCTGCATTAAAGTGATGTCATGTGATTTGCTTTTTAGTTTATTCTTTTAGTAAATATTTAAAAATTACAAAATTATTTTCCTAAAATAAAAAATAAGATTTGTAAACGACTACCATAATGGTATTAAAGTTAAATGAATTATGTATTATTCAACAAAAACTTGAAATCAGAAAAGCTATAACTTTTTAAGAAATGCCCTTGGGTTACATACAAACTCCTTTACTTATTTTGCTTTCCAGAAAGTATCCTGCAGAACATGACATGTGACAATGGAACTCCTGTATAAAGTTCTTATTTTCAGCCATACTTATTTAGTATCTCTCTCTCACACACACATGCACACACAAATGGGATTCATATCCTCTACAATATACAACTCACAAAATTTAAAACTGCTGTGAACACTAAAAAAGCCAAAATAATGACACATAATTGCCGTGACCCAAAACTACTCCTTTGTTCAGAATCAGGAAAATTTTCAGAATTAAGGGTGCAACCAAGAACTCTAATAGGCATGGAATGCAGCTGAAGAAAAGTCTATGCATGCTGGACTTGCATTTTTAATAATGCAGAAAGAATTAAACATTTCTCAGTTCTATCACTTCTATTGATAAGCACACAAAATTTCTGAGTCATGCAAGTACATCTGTGACTTTCAAATGTTTTTGTTGACACTTTTTCATCATTCTGGTCATGGAGCTGCACAAGGAAGTATACACTGGGAGCTCAAACTGAGACAAAGCCATGAGAAGTGCCCATGGACAACATGAAGACATTTTCCTCAACCTACAGACATGGAGCCTCAATACCTGATACTGCTGCTATCCAAGGAAGGCAGAAGATAGGTAACAGCCAGTATAGGAGACACTGGAGAGTTGAGATTAAATGAACTGATAGGTTGAAGGAGCCTAGTGAGACCACATGGCAGATTGCTGCTGTAACTGCCGACAGCAGAATTAGTCATTAGCACTGATAAACGTTGGCCGTCAGGTTGTGTGCTCTTTTCGTTGCAGTAAGTCGCATTAATAGTCAGTCTGTTTTAGAGGTGTCGATAGGTATTAGATGTTTATACTGAAATGAAGTTCACTATTGAACAATGTGTGTTTATTGTCAAAACTTTTGCAAGGAAAAAACTTACAGATACTATATCCATAAGTTTCGTCATAATTATCCTGATTTGCCAGTTCCCACAAAGTTGTGTGTATCCAAGCTTGTGAAAAAGTGAAGGGCCACAGGTTCAGTGTGTGACATAAAGAAGCAATTGAAAATGATTGTGCCAACTGAAGAAAAGGTTTAGGATATATAAGCACAACTATAGATCAGTCCTCGAAAATTGTTAAGACATTCAGCATAGGAAACCGGTGTTTTGCTAGGATCTGCTTTCACAGCCATAAAATTAATAAAATTTTGCCTGTATAAAAATAACAGTTGTGCATGAGCTGAAGAACCAAATTATGCAGCAAGAATTCGTTTTTGCAACTGGCTGCTGCAAAATGTGCACGATGGAATTGTGGATCCACAGCTTCTGTTCACGACTGATGGAGTGTGGTTTCATGTTAGCGGTCATGTCAATGCACAAAATGTAAGATTACGGAGTGATGAAAATCCTCATGCTATACAGCAAGTGCTATGACATGGTGAAAAGGCAGGGGTGTGGTGTGCTGTAAGTTTGCGGCGAATCAAGGGCCCTTATTTTTCTATGAAACCGTGAACTCAGACTGCTATGTTAATGATATACTGAATCTTTTTCTTCAATCAGCTGACTCCTGAAGAAATACAATATGGGTATTTTCAGCAAGACAATGCTAATGCACATACGGCTAATGCATCCATGGTTGCAATATGGGAAGTGTATGAAGACAGAACAATCAGCAGGGTACTGTGGCATCCCAGATCCCCAGACCTCAGTTTCTGCAATTTTTATCTTTGGGGAAACCTAAAGAGAAAAGTCTACAAGAATAATCCTTGCACCACTGAAGCTCTGAAGAATGAAATAACATGCATAATTGGTTCAGTTACTATGGACAAACTTCAGAAATTGTCTCATAATTTATTTATGCGATGCGAGGCATGTTTGTAAGCAGAAGGGGGTCACTTTCAGCACCTGTTATAAAGCATGGCAAGTTTGTGTTATCTTTTTACAGTATTCCTATAAATGTGTGCATGTACATAAACTGATGTGAGGGAATCAGCAACAAGACTCCACTCTCGCTAGCGGGGAAGGCCACAGTAATTGCAGAGAAACATTCCATCCACTAGCGAGAGTTTGCGTGTTTATCAGCACTAATGACCCATTCCACTATCGACAGTTACAGCTGCAATCTGTGAGGAATGTTGTGCCTGCTCAGCCCTGTTACCAGGTTTCCTTGGTGATTAAACACCATTTACTACAATTAACAATAAATGACAGCAGTATAAGAACACATATGCCCCACATTGATGTATTATTATGAAAGATAAACTTTGTGAAAAGGGAACTATGTATCAGTAAATTGAAATCCTTGGAACTATGGGAACAAGACTAGACCAGATACAGGTTCCTTCAAAAACATTCTGTGCACTCACAGTAGGCCAGAATAAAATGAGGGGGGGGGATTGATTTTCCTGAAGTTGAATTGTGGTCCAGAATTTACTTCATTAAGAAACAACATTTTTTCTGCCAACATTTGTAACTGGGAATTTTATATCTACTGCTGTCTTAAGAGGAAGGCGAATAAGGTTACAGAAGGTTTCACAGTTCGTACTGCACAGGTCTGGCCTTTGAATCTCTGGGTGTAGAGAGTGACAGCCGCTCAGTGGGACCAGATCAGAATCAATCAATCAGTCCATAGGCATCACACCACTACTCACCTTATTATCAATGTATTTCTTTTGGAGTTGCAGAGCTGGGTTCCAAATTGTATTCTTCATTATTTAGGAAAATGAGGTTCATATGGAATGGAAGAAAAAAGAAACTAATCTAGAAGTATGATTCGAAAATGTCAAGGAAATGTAATGTGTGGATGGCACATGGGCTGAAGTGGTTTCAAACATTAAAGTTCCTCTGAAGCAGGAAACACATTTGGTATATCCACTGAGTTATGATACAAGTTGTATTGTACCTGGTCATCTGCAGGACATCCTCCAAGTAGTACTCTTTCACTGGATATGTGAAGCCTGGTATGTTCAGACAGGGACAGTCACCATAGTACTTTGAAAACTGCTCTGCATTTAATGTGGCACTCATCAAAATTACTTTCAAATCTGATCTCTGAAAAATTAAAAGAAAAAGGTTATATGTATATACATTTCACTGCCTCTTAACCTTTTCCAAATAACAAGTTGGTAAAACAGCAATGTTTTTCCTGGGGTAAACCAGCTCAGCCCCTCTTGAGGAGCTACTCCAGAATTTCCTAAAACTTTATGGAACCTGAAGGTTCATTACCATGTTCACAACAGTTCTCCACTGTTCCCTATCCTGAGCCAGATCAATCCAGTCCATACCACGCTACTGTATCTCTCTTTAATGCTACATTCCATGCCCATCTCATCCTCCTCGAGTTGTTCATTCTAATTATACTTGTCAAAGAGTAAAAGTTATGAAGCTCTTCATTTTGCAGTTTTCTTCAACCTCCTACCACTTCATCCTTCTTCAGTCAAAGTATTCTCCTCAGCACTCTGTTCTCAAATAGCCTCAGTCGATGTTCCTCCATTGATGTTAGAGAGAAAGTTTCACACCCACACAGAACCACAGGCAAAATTATAGTTTAGTATATTCTAATTTTTAACTATTTTAGACAGTAGACAAGAAGACAAATGTTCTAGAATGAATGGTAGTAAGCACTAACCAAATTCAATCTCCCTTTAATATCCTCCAGAATCAAATTTTGATTTGTTACAGTCATCCCCAAATGTTTGAACTGTGACACATTTTCAAAAGATCTGTTAGCTATCTTTATACCATGATTACTATCATCACTTAAAGTTTCTGTGTTTTTCTTATGGTATCAATGTTATTGCCCAGCAGATTTACATCATCTGCATAGACCAGCAGCTGATGTGTTCCATTTAATTTCAGTCCCATCTGGTTTCCCTGGACCTTTCTAATGACATATTCTGAAGCAAACCTCAAAAGCAATGGCGATAAAGCATCTCCTTGTTTTAGACCATTCTGGAAAGGAAAATTATCAGACAAATGTTTACCTATATGGACTTTACTACATGTTTGGTATAGACACATTTTAATCTGCCTAACTAGTTTCATGGGTACCCCAAACTCTATGAGAATACTGTACAAAACTTCCTTCCTAACTGAATCATGGGCTTTCTTGAAGTCTATGAATAGCTCATGTACTGTCACAGAGTACTCCCGTTTTTCTCCAGTATCTGACAAATGCAAAAAATCTGACCTGTAGGTGACCTTTTACAATAAAATCCACACTGATGATCTCCAATAATTTCGTCTATATATTGTAGCCATACCACTGACACCACCAGCTTTATTTGTAATCAAGATTTATTTTTATGGTAATTATGCATAGGATGTAATAAGGAACATTCAAGGGTGACTTAGCCCGATTCTTGGTTTCAAGAATAGGGTCTGTTTCACTCCCACAAAGACCAGGCAGGAAGCACCCCGCAGAGTGTTCCTGGAAATTCAGTTAGAAAGTTGACCAGCGGGATCCTTTGGTAAAGTTATACTTGACAGGTTTTGAACCCCTAAGTCAAAAGTGGGAAGGCCAGCAACCCACGATACTGGTATAATTTTTCAAGCCGCTGTCAAAAACGATGTTAGGACTTTAAGGTTCAAAGTCCCAAACTAAAGCTAGGTGATTGGAGCAGTGAGAATTGTGGCTAACTCCCTAAATTCGAATTGTTCCAATCTGCCGAAATTAGGGTAGTAACTTGAAGGCAGAGTTGAACTGTGAAGATTTCTCGCTTCAAAGCAGAGTCAAGTTGCTAAAACAGTGTCTGAACAACTCTCAAACTGTAAAGCTGAAAAAATGGCATCACTGGCAGCTTGGTTTGAAAGTCAAAGTTAAAAACATAATTATATTTAAGTGTGTTACTGGAACAATCTCTGAATAACTCTGCAAAATTAATTAGACGCAAAAATTAGTGTGAATCTTAATTTGGCTTAAAAGTTTAAGTGAAAGTGTAATCACTTCTACGTGTTGTGCTAAAAAGCAGTTGCTAAATAACCAGCCATGGATCCGGTCGCCAACGTTTGAGTGATTTCAAGGTGTTTTAAGGGATTAAGGACAAGTGCTGTTACCTGAATATCAAAAAGTGCTCATTAAACAGTGTGTGGTAGTGCCTAGCTACAAACACTCTTATCTTTCCCGCTAACGCGAGGCCCGTATTCACCCTGAGACAGAATCTCATCGCTCTAGTGCGAATGCAGTAACTACCACCTGTAGTTTCCGGTTCATCCTCCCTTTTTCCTAAAAAATAAGCCTTTATAGTAAGCTTACTGGTGCCCAGGATTCATGTAACCCATATCCCGCAAACATCAAATATCCACAACACCAACAAAAAGGGAAGCAGAACTGGACAAGAAGGACGCAGCAGCAACCAGCAAACTCAGAGTACCAACAGGTGAGAGGGAACGGCTAGAGGAGCAGCTGCAACCCGCACCAAAGGGGCCAAGAGGATGGTAAGAGAGGAGATGGCACCAACGTAAGGGTTGGACAGTCACAATATGGACTTAACCCTGAGAAAAGGACACTGGATATGACTTTGTATGAAGTTGATAAGAGTGATATCTCACAATAATTACTACAACCTTCACCCTTCTTGTAAACTGGTACAACACTAGACTCCTTCCACTGATCAGTCAATTCTTCTTTAATCCAAATAGAATTAACAAGTTTATGGATCTCAGACCATAATGTTTCAATTCCTGCTTGAAATCAGTTCTGCTGGAATTTGATCTCTACCTGGCGATTTACACTTTTCGAACTTTGCAATAGCAATTTCAACCTCAAAAGGACTCAAAGGGTACTACTAATGGCTCAGCTGTATATATTTCTACCTGCCTAACATCACTGACATTTTATGTACATTCGACAACTGAGAGAACTAAGTTAATTCTGGGTTGGTAACCCCTCATAAAGTCATTTCTTCCTCTATGCAGGTTTCTACTGTTCTTGTTCATACCGTTCATTGCAAGCTCATTGATTTTGTCTTTCAGTCTACAAAATGTATTACTAAAACATCTTCTAACTACCCAATTCCACAGATCATATTCATTATCAAGTTTAAAAGAGCCCACCACTGTTCCTCATCCTGCGTTAGACAAATTACATCAAATTTGAGGACCATACTAATATTATCACCCCATCAGTGCCTAGGTCTCCTATATAGTCTCTTCTCTTTACTAACTTTTCACCTTGTGTGAGATACACATTAGAACAGACACACACAATATTCTTTGACCTAACAAACCTGACTTCTAACCATGCTTGGCCTATTGTGATTTCACTGTCTTCACAAAACACAGGATTTTACGAAAGGTAGGGCCACTATCAGGATTTCACTGAAGTATCAACTTTAATGTCAGTACCACTTTGGCAGGCGGGTCTGTTGAAGTATCTGATCACCGTATAACAACCTCCATGACACCTTGTAAGCATGAAAGCTTCATAAAAAATACAATATATTTTGGTAACAACACTACCTAGCAAGAATACACTTGGCTTCTCAAAATGAACTGTAATATTCTCAACAAACCAAACACTGAGGTGAAATGGTCAGCACTCCTTCATATTCAAGAGATCCTGGGTTCCGCAACTGAGCGTCTTTGTGGTTTTCCTCAAGCCTTCCAGACAACTGTATAGAAAGCATCTCAAATACACAACTGCTTCCATTCACACCAATGCCAATTCATGATTCACTATAAATCCCGTGACTGAACACTGCATCTAAGCTACTGACAGTATCATAACATAAATTATAAATAAATTGTAAATAAAAATAATCTAAACAAACCTTCTGGATGATATCTTTGAGAATGGTCATAACAAAGTCACTGATGACATCGCGTTCGTGTATTTCATCCAAGACAATATGAGACACTTCTCTAAGAACTGGGTCAGATTGCATCCATTGAAGCATTACACCAGTGGTGCAAAACAATATAGAGCCCTTCTTGCGTGGCATCCGCCTATAAACAGATATCAAATGGTATAAATTCCTGCTATGTTGTTGTAAATATGATCCAATCAAGGGCTTATGTAGTGACAATTTTCAACATTCCAATATCTACTACAAAACACGGTGTTCTTAGTTGAATTAATATGTCTGGCACACACACAAAGTCTAGATGACTGTAGGAGAATACAGGGAAGTAGACTTGTGGGGGTAGGCACAAAAGCTTTGAGATGTAGAAGGAGCAGATCCATGGAACTCCTTCCTGTAGCCTCTGTATAACCATACATACTGGCTGATTGCAATGAAACAACAGGTCTTAGTGTGACATTAGAAAGGAATCAATTCATTATCAAAGCCCCATATAGCCAGAAACTGAAACCCATGAAAGATACAGCGTAGTACCAAATATCCATGAGGTACCAGAAAACATTTGCAAAAACAGGAATGAAATTGAATAAGAACAGAATTCATATCACAAACAACATTCTGAGGCGAATTAAAAAAGAAGAGGCCAATAATTGACATTTAGGAATCAAAAAACTGCATATAAAGCACATCTACTGAATGCAAAATGGAATATACAGGGTAAAAAATTACAAATGTGACACCAAAAACAGCAGAACACTCCTGGAATGAGGGTAACCGAGTTTTGTTAAAAAAAAAAAAAAACTTTATTAATCCATATAATTTTAATGTCACTACTAGATACAACATATGTTTATTTCTCTACATAGTCCCCATTGTGATTCAGACTTTTAACAAACTTGATGATCCCCTCATCATTAAAGTCGGATGCCAGTCCATTTTACAAGTCTGTAACTGTTTCTTTCACGTCTTCATCAGTTGCCATCCATTTTCCATTTTTTGTATCAGAGATGAACTCTTGACAATCTCATAGAGGAAAGATTGCGAAATACGTAGGTTGTACCAAACGTCATGAGCAACATTTTTTTGCATGCAACCTGGAAACAGCAGAAAAAAGAGAGTACGGTGGTAGGTGGAACCAGCTGTTGTGTTAACCTTGAGTGTCTTGTGACGTCAATAGCTTGCATCACGTGACCAGTATCACTCCTAACAAAATGGCCGACAATGATATGTCGTTTCGCCAGTGTGCTGTCACTGAATTTCTTGTGAAAGAGGAAATCCCTGCTGCAGAAATTCACCAGAGACTTCAGCGTGCTTATGGAAGTGTGTGCATGGGTGTGAGCAGTGTTCGAAGATGGGTGAAACATTTTAAAGATGGGAACACCAGCATTGAAGATGAGCCTCGGAGTGGTCGTCCTTGAACAGCCTCAACTAAACGAAACAAGGAAAGAGTGGGTGAGATCATTCAAGATGACAGACATGTGACTGTGGACACAATAGCCCGAAAACTTGGAATAGGGCACAGTGCAGTACAGGAGATGATTGAAAGCTTGGGCTATAGGAAAGTTTGTGCTCATTGGGTCCCATGGTTATTGACCGAAGGCCACAAAGGTCAGTGAAAAGCCATCACTTCAGAACTGCTGCAGAGATATCGACAGGAAGGTGATGATTTTTTGTTCCGTCTTGTGACAGGCGACGAAAGCTGGTTTCACCATTTTGAGCCTGAAACAAAATGGCAGAGTATGGAATGGCACCATCTGCATTCTCCATCAAAAAAGAAGGCAAACACAGTGCCATCTGCTGCGAAGGTGATGGGCACAGTCTTCTGGGATGCAGAGGGGTTTCTTCTGGCTGAATTCCTGGAACATGGGCAAACCATCAATGCTGTTCGTTATGTCCAGACGTTGCACAAGCTCCGTTGTGCACTGCGTGATAAATGTCCGGGACGAAACATCATCCTGCAAGACAACGCTCACCCCCACGCAGCTCACCTCACATTGGAAGCAACTGCAAAGATGGGGTGGGAAGTTCTTCCATAGCCCTCCTATAGCCCTGATCTTGCACCCTCCGACTACCATCTTTTCGGACTTGTGAAGGATCAGCTGCATGGACGTTTTGAGACAAGGGAGACAATTCAGAAAGCAGTGCGTCAGTGTCTTCGGATGGCTGGAATGGAATTATACAGAAGGGGAATTTTAAAACTCCCAGAACACTGGGAGAAATGTGTACAAAGAAGTGGCGATTATGTGGAAAAATAAAGAAAGGTCTGTAGATTGAGGTGGTGTATTTGGTTTGTCAATAATAAAGCACGTTACTTTACAAAAAATTGTTGCTCATGACTTTCAGTATAACCCTCGTATATGGGAAAACTTCATGAAGCTCATCAATAGTGAATAGCCTGTTTTCATGAATGTAATCATCAACCCCGTCATTCAAATCCTTGGTGATGATAGATGGGAGTCCATATCATGCTTCACTGTGCACGTGTCTTTTCCCCCCCCCCCACTAAACAAACGACACCATTTACACACATCACCCTTGTCATGACACCTTCCCCATACACATCAACAAGTTGGCGATGGATTTTGGGAGGGTGAATGTTTTTCTTGTTCAAAAATTGAATCACCAAACGCACCTCACAATCAGTGGGAGTAGTGATCGACGTGGTTCTTTATAAAGCACTGTAGCACAGCAACCAATTCACTCAATGGCTCAGTAAACACTGGAGACATGGCAGAGGGTCCGACAACAGCTCCTCACTTTCAAAAACCTCTGGTCGATGACCTGTGTGGGCAGGGTAGGCAAATGGTTCTTACTTTAAAAATGACTTATGTACTTACTTTTCTAGTCTAATTTGGTAGCCGACACTCTCTTCTCCACAAACTTCATCCCTCTCCTCAGCTACTCGAGATGCTACCGATGTGGCACTAATTCTGCGAGGTTGAGTGCATATAATACGGCACACAGATCCTTTATCCTTCATGATATAACTGTCAAGAATAAACTGTGCTACCTGGGTAGTTTTGCCACATCCTGAAACAGAAGTGTTCAATGGTTTGTGGCAATGGCTGAGTCATTAGATTGCAATTATGCTGGACAATATCCGTTCTCTCAAATATATACTACATACAAATATGTAACTTCCTTTTTTCATTTTCATCTGTTCTATTTCCTACCATGTACCTAATAGGAAACACCCAATGATATTATGAAATTTATCCTCTATTCTTGACAACATGAGTAGCTGCAGGCATTAAAGCAATGGGCAACTGTTACAATAGAATTTTTAAATGCAAATTTAATCTCAGTTTCCAACATTTTTTAAGTACATCAACATACAAGGTGTGGCAATATAATTCTCACAATTCTTGCAGTATGCTGCTGGGGTGCTGAGTCGGGCTAACTCATGTACCCAAGTATGTCTGGCCATGTTCCACCTTGTGACTACATGAGCCACAGATCAAATGAGTCATTCATTTCCAAGCAGCAGATGAAGCAGTACGTGTTCGCGGTATACTGTTGACAGAAAAATGAGTGACAAGAATCTGGAGCAGTGGATAAACATCAAGTTGTGTGTGAAGATTGGTAAAAAGTGTTAGTGAAACATTAGCCCTATTAACAGTGGCTTTTGGCGAATACGCTATGAAGAAATCAAGTGTTCTTGAACGGCATAGGCAATTCAAGGAAGGGCGAGAAGATGTGCAAGATGAACCCAAAAGTGGGTAGTCAAAAATGCAAAGGACAAATGCAAATGTGGACAGAGGATGAACCTTGATGCGCTCTGATCGAAGATTAAGTATGAGACTAATAGCAGGAAAATTGAATACAAATAGCAAAACATAGTAATAGATTATTACAGAGGATTTGGGAATGAGAAAAATTTCTGCAAAGATGGAGCCTGGAATCTTGACAGATGACCAGAAATGTCGGCTTCACATTTCACCTGATCTTTTATACAACGCGGAGATATCTGATAGGGCCATTACCGGTGATGAAACGTGTGGTGTTTTCAATACAACCCGGAAACAAAACACCTGTGGAAAACGCAAAATTCACCTCTGAAAAAAGCACACATGTTTAACTTGCAGTTCAAGACCATGCTCGTGTGTTTCTTTGATCACAAGGGGATAGGTCACTATGAATTCATTGCACAAGGAAAAATGGTGAATTAACAGTGTTATTTGGAAGTGCTGACAATATTATGGGAATCTGGACAAAAAGACCCAAACTCTGTCCTGACAAGTGGATCCTCCACCATGACAATGCCCCTGCACATGATGTGTTAAGAGTTCGCGAGTTCATAGCTAAGAAAAAAACTCTGTGGCCTGACGTCTGCAAGCAAACTATACTGACCGAGTGATGGCTGCCTGCAGGTGAAGTTAGTGCCAACTTTAGCAGATAGAGGGTGTCGCGTGGTCAGTGCAACAAATCCCCATGGTAATTAATCTCGGTTTTCTAGACTGGAGCCAATATTTCCTTGAAACAGCTCCTCAATTATCCTCACAAGGCTGAGTGGACCCCGTTCCAGACCCATTACTTCTCAGAAAATCTGATAGTGCCAGGAATTGAATCTGAGACCTCTGGATCTGTAGCCAGAAACTTTGATCACTAGACCACAGAGATGGTCGTCATGGCTAAGAAATACATTACAAAAATGGACCACCCACCTTATCCACCTGACTTAGTGCCCTGCGATTTTTGCCTCTTTCCAAAATTAAAGATGCCCTGAAGGGACAAAGATTTGCTGACATTCCTGACATCCACTGCAACGTGACAACATCAATGTGAACTATTCCGGAAAATGATTTTCAAGACTGTTTCTAGCAGTGCCACCACCGTCTCATGAAGTGCATAGCTTCACAAGGAGATTATTTCGAAGATGAGAGCAGGTAAGCAAATTTTGTTTTCACAGGGCCATTCCAGGAATTAAATTGTTGCACCTTGTACTCTTTCTGAATACTGTTTCTTCTTTACAGTTTTGGCTGCTATATACACATATGTGATACGTACATGGAAAGTAGCCATATCCTGACTGAGGAACGGGAACTTCTGCTAGTACCTGTTACATATAATCCTTTGAGAGCTGGCTGCACTCTCATTATCATGTGATTAGTTACCATTACAACAAAAGATGACCTACTGTTTCTACTTTTAACCCTAAAGGCAGGAGTTGAGCTCAAACTTAGAACCATAACCAACCAATTCCACAGAGCAGATTCATTTTTGAGAAAGAGACAGTCACTAAGATGGTCGAAAAATTTCCTACCATTAACAGAAGCCACAGATTCATTGCCATGTTTCCAAGAGCCTGACACCTGACCATATTCTGAACCAGGTGAATCCAGTCCACACCCTCTTCTTAAAGACGGATTTCTGACAAACATTTTGCATGCGTTTCTCATCTCCTTCAATCATGCTGCATGCTTCATCCACCTTACTGTCCTTGATTTAATCACAACCTTAATAATACTGTAACGTGTTTAGCCACTGAAGATGCAGTTTGGATTGTTTATTGGTTCATTTAACAACCTACAAGTCTTGGCTACAATTAATTATAACACTGTTATGGGTTTCCACAATTTACAACCCTACACAATAATCTGTCCACTCTGTCCTCAGTAGTCTACACGTATTCAAAGTACGGTACGGGAGCTATTCCAATGTCACCGTATTACACACTCCCAATTACTTCTCTGGTGAGCCAAGCATCTGCTTCTCACGCTGTCACTACTAATCACACGTTCTGGTATTCTTCTTTCCGCTACAACTGAACTTAGCGACTGTTCCAATTCAACTGTCTCCGGTGATGGCTACATTTCAACTGTCTTCGGCAACTGCTGATCACACTCACTTCTAACTGCTCACTGCTGACTGACTGCTGACTCCCTGGCTAACTCATAACTAATTGACTCACTGCTGGCTAACTCATAACTCACTCTGAATAGTGTTCGCTGCTCCTTATTTAGCCCCGTTACGGACAACACAGAAAACAGTTACGTAATAGGCACCACTGTTGCATAATGTCACGTTTACTGACTGTCTAGGAACAGTCACTGCACAGACTCCCCGCTGTGTTTACACAGGTGTTGCTGGGCAGCGCTGCCGGGAGTTATTTACGGCTATGTAGCAACTGCGGCGTCCCGTGTTACGTCACTGCGGGGAAAGGGGTGTCTACCAAGTGTTGCGCACTGATGGACGGAGTGGGGATATGTGACGTCACTCACGAGATCACAGAGTTCATGCGACCCCCACCTCCCGCTACGCCATCCACGTCACACTATGTTAAAAGTACAACATATGAAGCTCCTCATCTGCAATTTTCTCTCAAATCTACATTCTCTCCTTGAGGAGGGATACCAAGTTCCACACCCATACAAAACATGTAATACCACATAAATATTAAAATTGTATGATAACCAGTAGACTAACCTGGTGGTAGTTTCCCATTGTGGCACCCCAGGTTCAATCCCAGGTCAGGTCTTGGTTTCCCCTGCTAATTCCCATTCAACCAGCTGCTCCACATTATCATCCTACCTCTGAGGCTATGCAATCTCAATACTAACAGGGTCACGAAATAACCAACTTAAAACAAATCAAATTAAAGAATATAATTTGAAGAATTCAAGCCCTTCCATTTACAGTTAAGCTTTCCTGATGCCTTACATTACAAAGAAATAAACTGTAATTACATTTCTCAGTGAATGACTGACTAAAATAATTTTTACCTGTTTCTCCACTGATGACAGTGACCTGATTCTGTTCCACAAGATCTAAAATCTGATCTTTCATCCCAAATGATGGCAACTTTTGCCTGAATTCCATCATCTTCTTGTAGCGTTTGCTGTTTTGTTTGTCAATAAGTCTCATTTTGAAAAGTTCATCCAATTCTTTGTCCTGTACCAATGACGTTCCCACTAACAATGAACGTCCTAGATTTGCTTCAATGTTTCCTGTTATATTCTGCAAAAACTTGCGTTTGAATGAACTCTCGCTTATGTGACTGTATCTATCTGCAGCAGAACTTCCATGGTTGTCAGTACTGCTTGGTCCAGGTTTTACATCACTTTCATTATACACTCTTCTTGTACCACGTGTGCTCTCTGCTGAAATTTCTCCAGACTTATCACCTACTTCCAGCTTTACTTTACGTTTCACATCCACAGAAAAGTCCTGAGCACTAGAACACTCTCCAACTTCACTTCCCAGTTCACATTTTACTTTTGGTTTATCATGTAGTGAAAAGTAACGAGTACCAGAGAATGCAAAATCGTCTGGTTCAGAATTTAATTCACATTTCACGTCACGGTGGAGGTCTGATGTACCAATAGAGCTCAATAACTCTCTGATTTGTTGCTCTCTTCTCGGATCTAGACTGACTCCAATGCGCTGTAACTAGCAATACACAGTAAATTTAAAAAACTATACTGTTCAAATTATAATGCTATCATTAAAAAAATAATCAATCAGCACACACAGTGAAAATGTGTTCATGTACATAAAAAGCGTGACTCCATTAGAAAGTCAAACACTAAATAGATCAGTCCAGCATTACTATGCAATAAGTGCTGCATTATAAACACAGTAAAATATATATTAGAGAAATTCAAATATGCAACATCTAGAAAAAAATAAAATGGCCACTTAAGATCTTACAGGAATGACAGTTTTCAATTCTAAAACTAGGCAGAATTTTAAATGTTAAAAAAAAAAAAAAATTGAAATAAAAATTATGATTACATCACATATGAGAAAAACTCTTGAATTAGCATTTAGTTCATGTCAGGTAGATCCCTGTCACCATGGCATGGTGCGTCCTCAGGTTTCGGATGGAGGGAAGCTGCCTACATACTGAACAAGCAGTTGCAGACAGCCGATAAGGGGTAGTCCTCCAGCTTGGGGGTTGGGTGTGGGGCTAACAACTCCTCACCGTAAAAAGTAAGCTTGTTACAAAAATGTTAAAGAAGCCTCAGACCTGGGCAGATTCTGTGGATAAATGACATAAGCGAAGGACAACGGATATGAGATTTGGTATTTCGAATGTTAGATTTATGTATAGGGCAGGTTCGTTCACTCAGGGCAGTGGTGGAAGAAATATCAAAATATAAGTTACGAGTAAATTGAAAAAATCCCCCTCATCAGGACCTGAAACATTTGTCAATTGTACTGGAAGAAAGTTTTGGTAAAATAAACAAATATTTTTGTCGACTGAAACAGTAAAGACTGAACGCACATCGATCAAGGAATGCTTCACAATGCCACCACAAAGAAAACAGCTGCAGTCACATGATGATCCCTTAAACAAATTTATAATTTCTAGTATTTCAAGCAGTGCATGAAAACTGTTCAGACCATGTTTGGCATAAGGCAAATTCTGCTGTGAAAATGGTTGGAACAGGGTTTGGCAGTGAATGTGCTAACTTAATGAAGTAAAGAAATGTTCATACATACTGCTTTCAGTTCTGATCAATGGTCATGCCAACTAATACGAGCAGCAATGTTACTGTAATTCAAATATACACAAGACCCAGGATGCTGCAATATAGGACTAGGATTAATTACAGACAACATGTACTCACACTTGCTTGCTTCTTGCTTCTCATCTTATCTCGATAATATAACCCTGAAAAAAAGAAAAGAAACTTACAAATCTGGTCAACCTTGTGGCAGAAACACTACATGAAAACAAATTGCACCTGAGCTTAATTTCATACATACATTGCATCTTTATGCAAGTAATCTGAAACAACATTTAATTCCCAAATACACGCTCTGCAAGCAGAAAAATTATTATATAATAGGAAGCGGATTACACTAATAATAATGGAAAATATACCTACAACATTCAAAGTCTTTGAAATATAAATAAGTTGTATCCCTAACAGTGTCTCCAATTTTCAACTTCATGTATAACCTACTTTTTTCTTACAGAGAAATGGGAAGTTTAAGAGCTCACCATGCTGTTTGTGTACGTCTGTCTGACCCATCTCATTTCAAAACTTGAATCAGTTGACCATTTTAATAAAACCTGCTATAAGCATTATAACAATGGAGGCCATCCTGACATATCTCTTAATTTCTTACAGACAGTAACAGTAACAACAAGACTTGTGATGTGGGATTGCATTAGCACCATTTACTTCAAGGTTTCAAAGTGATGAATGGACAGATAGTTTGGTAAAATATAAGACTTAGGTGAAGGCAATATTTCTGAAGAGAGTAAAATAACAATATGGTGGCTGTGCAAAAATGTGTTTTAGTTTTCAGTCTGATGGCAGTAAGTACTGAACCAATGCATCTAGGTATGTCAGATTTCATGTAATTAGATGATAAACATATTGTAACGTGTTTCGTTACTGAAGACGCCGTAGAGATGGTTAATTGGTTTATTTAACAATCTACAAATAACGGCTACAATTAATTATCACACTATTACGGGTTTCCACACTTTACAAACCCTACAACAAAGTCTCTTAACACGATCTTCACTTGTCTTCACGTACTAATAACGCGGGAGCTATACAAGTCTCCCTGAATTACACACTCCAAATATAACTGTACTACAGCACTCACTAAGTATCGAAAGCACACAATAAGTCTTCCGCTCGCTGACTTCTTAGTTGTCGCACACGCGTCTGTAACTCGTAACTTGCGAACTCAGAACTCGTTGGTAATGCACTGACTGGCTGACTGTCACGGTACAACTAACTAGTTGCTGGCTAACTTGGAACTAACCCGGAGGTAGCTCGAGGACTCACTCGGAGGTAGCTCCAGGACTAACTGACTGTGAATAGCCTTCGCTGCTCCTTATGTAGCCTTGATCGGACAATTGTCGTCTGGTGCCTTGTTGCTAGCCACGCTGTCCGGAGTTGTTGACTGCTGCCTAGCAACCGCGATATCCCTCGGTGACGTCACCGCTACGTTACCGTGCGGAGGAGGGGGAGGGGAGCGCTGACTCACCCGCCGCGTCACTGCTGGTGGGGGGTTCTCCTTTGCGCAACATGTCACACTAGTTGTCACGTATTGGGCGTATAACGCGACATATAACTTCACGCCGTATTTGGTATANCATACCCTACCGGTACTGGTGCGTGCTATCAGCCCCGTTCAGCCAACAAGGTTGACCCTCAGTACCCGATAATTCTCCCATCTACCAGAGGCATTGGAAACTACTTGGGCGGGAAACTTTTTGCCTAATTTTGCTCAGAGGTCTCCTAGAGACATGAGGATCTTTTACGTGCCATAAATCTACGACACGGGACACATGGCTTAAAGCCCTCCCGGAGGACTTGTTCCCTGAATTTTTCCGCCCTTAAAAATTCCACGACCTCCACCAGGTTTGAACCCGCGTACCTTGAGTCATGAGGTGGGAACGTTACCCCTAGACTACGGAGGCCGCTCACTGGGCAAAGTTAGTCTCGGGGTCTGGATCAGTATGACAACCCAGGACTGGCAGGTAAGCTCCCATAAAGCCAATGGTGCCTTATGACTGGAGCCTCCCACGTGGCGCCATTAGGATTCCCAGGCATTACTGCAGTTTGCCCAGAATGAATGCAGGGAACACTCATATGGGGATAGCTTCAAGTACTTTAGTTGTCTCCCTAGAATGCCTTCAAGGTGCTGCAAGTCTTTGGGCTCAACACACTAAAAACGGTTTAACCAACCAATGTGGAGTGGTAGGAATGTGGGGTGGCTTGCCACCTCCAGGGGTGATCTTTCATGCAGCTTATTCTGGCTGTAACCACATTCCCACTGGTCATCTGGGATACCTGCCTTTTCCCCCAAATGTGCACTTTAAAGATAGCGATCTTTATGGAAACATATCCTGAATATAAGCTAACAGAAGACAGACAAAATATCATTCTGGAAGAACTGGTAAGGGCTTTTGCATGGGACTCCAACAGGGGACATACAGGCGAAATGTGCACTTAATATATATACACGGTGTGTCCAGGATCCGTTAGGACTCATTTTTTTAAATGTTGCCTGCAATGCCATCCGTTGATGAGTTGTGGTGTTAAGATTCTAGCCCCGTTACGTGTGGCTGTCTATAATTTCAGGCTGTCTATAATTTCAAAGCGAAAGCATCGCTGCATCATGTGTTCTGACCTTGAATGTAACAGTATTGTTCTCACACTCATCAGAAAATGGCAGTTGAACAGAGAGTCAACATCAAATTTTGCTTTAAGTTAGGCAAAACAGCCCAAGAAGCGTACAAAATGATGAAAAGTGTGTAGGGTAGTGACTGTTTGAGTCACTCAAACATTTTTTGATTGTATGATGTATTTCATGACGGCAACGAGGACACTGAAGACGCTCCACATGCATCAAAGCCGAGAACAAGTTGCACTGAAGAAAATGTGAAAAAAGTGAAAGAAATCCTTGCATCACACAGATGTGTTTCTGCAAAACTCACAAAGGGGCACAGTGCAATGTGGTTGAGCCCAAAGATGCCGAAACCAAAGAAAGCGCGTATGCAAAAGAGTCAAGTAAAGACATTGCTAACCATTTTCTTCGATTCCAAAGGAATCATTCACAAGTAATTTCTGCCAGAAGGTCAAACAGTGAATTCTGATTATTATCTCGGAGTCCTCAATCATTTGTGGGCAAGAATTCTTCGAATTTGATCTCAATATTGAGAGCAAGGTTCCTGGTCGCTCTCCCCTCTCCCTAATGCTGCTATGTTTCCCCCTTCCAGCATATATTCCTAATCCCTCTCTAATCCTGTATCTATTATGTCCACATGAATACTGGCAGTGGTAGCTATATAACCTTTGCTATTAGAAATTTCAGTGTCTGAGAACGAAGTAAACAATACAATAGGGAAGATCTGCAGCTGGATAGGAGAGGGATGCTGCTGGAACAGGACATAACTTTGACTGAAGTGAACACTGATAAACAAATGCTCAGCGTCTCTTGCATACAAAGAAATCATGAGCACTTACTGACAGAGGGAGATGACATTGTTCTACTGTGGAGGAAGTTCCTGAGAAAAATAAAAGATTACAAGAACTGAGGAAGGACAATCTATTACTTGGATTAAATCTGGCTGAGTGTTGCACACTGTCAAAAAGAGCCTACTAACATAACAATTAAGTGATTAAGTTGGCAAAGAAATCCCATCTAAGTGGAAGAATCTGTGGAACGTCTGATCGTTAATGTTGACAGTGAGGTGAACATGAAGGCACTGAACAAGACATATGTCTGTATCACAGCCCAGTGTTTCTTAACCACCAGGCCCATGCATCAATTATATCAGGCCATCTTATAAGAAAAGAATTTACCAGGCCACAGTGTGACAAAGGCTGAGAACCACTGTCATAACCTATTTGTTCGTGGATGTATCATTACTTATTAGATGTTTTCAGAACAAGTAATATACAGAGTCACCACTATACAAAGCACAGGAGGAAGGGTGGAAGTACTGTTTACCTTGCCTCTGAAACATCATGGAATCAGGTACAGCGACAAGTACTTCAGGCAGGCTGATAGAGACTAAAGGGGACTGGAGAAAGCAGAACAGCAGACAGGTAGGAAACCTCTAGCATCGTCATCCCTAGCATCCATGGGACTTCTCTCCATGGCTTCAGAGTAGTTAAATATTTTCTAACACTGGGTCAACAGACATCAGAAAAATCTATACAGAGCCCTTGTATTTACCTTTATATTTCCCATATTTTATTCTATCAGATGAAGGAAGAGCATGAAGCTGGTAATCAACTAAGGAATGTAACTGTGTGACTGAGTGCAATGTGATTCAGAATTACCCCAGATTTCAAGTGCCAGCTGCCATATTTTATTCACCTTGCTTCTTGACATACCTATCTCTCTTCCTTTAAGTCCAGGTGGCCTTCCTCTTCCTTTTCCTCGTCCTCCTCTCTTATCTCCTCTGTCATAACTCTCTGCACCCATACCATCTTCAGAGTCTCTGTCTACAAAAAGAATCCATTTAAGAATTACTGACAAACAGGTAAACCCTTCAAAAGTGACAGCTTGATCATACAAGGCATAATTTACATAAAATAATTTTAATATAACTCCTTGAGGCATAATTTCATCTAAATAATACTTGAAAAAAATCAGTTCCTACCTCATAGAAAACAAAGAATGTCCCCATTACATAGAACTAGTTAATGCTGTTTACAAAAATAATTACTGTTTACCATAAGGATCACAAGACATAAATAGACTCTGCGGGAAAAATGCAGTTTTTTAATGCTACAGCAGGTAGTGCCACTATGCTGTAAAGGGCTAAAGCCAAGAGCTTTAAATTTTGGACTCCAATCGAAAAATAAAGCACCAAGAAGACAGCAAAATCACAGACAACTTAGCTAGACCCAGTCACTTGCTAAGCAGCCTGCTATGAAAACAGGACCCAATAAATCACAGGCACCAAGCTACCACGATGCCTAAATGTTTATTATGGTGCCTACTAAGTTGCAAAATTATTCTACATTCGTATATGAAAACTGTCAATTTTCCAGCTTGTGGTTCACACTCAGCTATGCAGATCACAGTGACAGGCAAAGCTAACCACTGTAACAGGCCATGGAGGCTCACTGGATTGTGAGATGTCGAGCCACCAACATTTTCTAGACAATTAGCTCACAGATGGCAGTGACGTCACACTTACATGCTGGCTGCCCTTTTTAGTCCCCAGGAAGATTCCTGGTACTCAGTTCTGTCACAGTCTGAGTCAAACCCAGGGCCATTGTGTGCGGCTGGAAGGATTAGGTAAATTGAAAAATCCAATGACCTCATCGGAATTTTACAATGATAGTAAAACTAAAAATATTTCTATACAAATTCTTCCCGAAATCACAAGAGCATAGTGTTTTAACTGGCATAAGCAGTAATTTGAAATCAATCCCAGTCCGTCTCCATGAGTGTGAATTACTGTGCTCCAGTCATATGCTGAATGATACTTCATACACTAACTTGAGTCTTATGAAAAAAATTAAGAAAGCCTAATAAACTTCGCCATATACTGCACTGTTACAACACTGGTGTGCAGTAAATATTAAACTATGATTTTTTAAACCATGTAAAATTTATGCAAAAATATGTACATTTACAATTTATTTAACCACTGAATAAAAATAATATTAAGAATGTAGTCTTCTGGAATGTGGTGCCATGTAATTTTGTAGATGAACACTGACATTTCTTAGGAACGTGTTACCCCCAACTTTACAGCAGTTTACAATATTATATTTAAGCATCCTGTTGCAATCTATATGATATATGACATAAACACTGTCCCAAATGCAACAATTTATTGTAGTTCTTTTGTCTTGCCCTCCTCTACACTACATGTTTTGGCCACAAACGGCCATCATCAGGTGTATACTCTTACATAGCTGTTACACTGCACTTAGTTTAAAATTTAAAACCACAAGTCTTCCCAATTGTTCTTTTCTTCGTTACTAACAGGTTTCGATGTATCAGAATCTACTTCGCTGATATCTGTCTGATTTGTGCATTATCTTTGTTACCTACACTTGTCAATTTTGATTATTATGAACTGGCACTTTTAAAATCTTCAGTTCTAAAGATAAGCAGCGGCACGCACACAAGGAGCCTACACAGAGTAAGAGTGCTGAAAACAAGAAGTAGCCGCTGCAGCACTACAAACATAGGGTGAGTTAACTCTGAGAATTTTAATTTTTAAAAGAATTTTTAAATTAGAACTGAAGATTTTAAAAGTGCCAGTTCACAATAATCAAAATTGACGAGTGTAGGTAACAAAGATAATGCACAAATCAGACATATATCAGCGAAGTAGATTCTAATAAATCGAAACCTGTTAGTAACAATGAACAAAACAATTGGGAAGACTCATGGTTTCAAATTTTAAACAAAATGCAGTGTAACAGCTATGTAAGTGTATACACCTGATGATGGCCGTTTGCGGCCGAAACACGTAGTGTAGAAGAGGGCAAGACAAAAGAGCTACAATAAATTGTTGCACTTGGGACAGTGTTTATGTCATATATTTTACAGCAGTTCTTGACAATGGAACCAGAGAGAGCAGGTTCATCCAAAATGTTGGTAGCCATCTACCAGGCTACACCTTCTGCCAAAGGAAATACAGGCATCAAGGACCTCTGAAATGTTTGCAGCAATCTACAACTACACAGTGTCACTTTAAAAAGACTGCATTCTTAATACTCACTTCGTATTTCAGAAAAAATTAAATTTGTTATTCCATTGTCTCTATTTCCATCATGGCCTCTAATTTTTTGAGGTGGAGCCTACATCTACTGAAAATCTGGTGGCTCTATTATAAGTTCTGCTTACATGGGACACAGGAAAAACAAATAACTACAGAGATCATATACAAGTGTATAACTCAACAATAGCATTTGCATTACTGGATATGGAGACTAAATCACCACCAGCAAATGACCCATACTGTTTCTGGAAACGGCCAGATTTACCCTTTGGTTTAATGGCTACATCAAAACAAGGCAAATATGACAGGATATGGACAACTTTATATATCCAATTCTGCTGAAGCAACAACAAAACCGAGCCAAGGGTGTATGGCCGAAGTAATGCAACAACTCCATTAGATGCTGCAACATGTTAACCCATTTGCTGTCATATAAAAGAATGCACTAAATGCAATGAAATTTATGAATAAATAAACAAAATACATTAATAAATAGCCTATCAGATATGCTAGAACAGCATATGTTATACCAAGCACAGCTAGTATCAAGGTAGCATAGTCAGTTGAAGCACTATGCTACAAGCCGGAAGGTTGTGGGATGAAATCCCAATGACGTCACTGGATTTTTTTCAATTTACCTAATCCTTCCAGCCACAATATGGCCCTGGGGTCAACTCAGCCACTAACAGATACAAGTACCAGGAATATTCTTGGAATATTGTTGGGGGTATAGGGTGGCTGGTGCGTAAGGCTGACAACCTTACCCCCATCTGAGCCAACTGTCTAGAAAATGTGGGAATCTAAACATCTCGAAACCCTATCGGCCTCCATGGTCTGTTACAATTTTCTACTGGAGTGACATCTAACATAAGGACGTGGGTCATGGGCGATATGCATGTCATGAAATCACAGTTTACAAATTTATGGACAAAACATGCATAAAATTATTATGACCACCAGCATCAACAATAAAAATTCTTTGAGTACTTCTAATAGTTTTCTAATTAATACATCATCATACATAACAAATATGCCATAACTACGCATACTGCTAATAAAAGTGGATATGCAAATTACAACAAAAACAGAATACTATAAATACTCAAATTTTGAATTCTCAAACGATTATGCTTACCAGTGCGTCCGTAATTATTCCCTTTCCTTCCTTCAGTCTTGTAGTTACGCTGACTGTGAAAACCATATCCATCACGCCTTCTCATTTTCAGTAGTATCTATTGGAATCAGAATTGAAACGTATTTATATTCTATTGTTACTTTATATACCAGGCCAAGCATGTATAACACACATACTAATAAAATAATACTGTTAACTCTAGTTACAAATTAGGAATTAATGGTATAAAGTAAAATAATTGTCACAGAGATATTAACTCCATACTTAAATTTAAATTAAAGTAAATTCTTCTATTATATAACTACTGATATTTTACGTTCAACCTGCAGACATTACACATTCGTACACACAACTTCGTGCACGAAACACTCATTTCGATTTTCCAATCCTGACGTTCCTGACATCCAAGGATGCCAACTTTACTCACTGATATCCAGAATTGAGTACAGTGTATGTTTTCTTCAGTATTGATGACAAATGATTTACTTTGACATGTCACAATAATTGTTCTTTCTTTTGCCCACAAGCATGTGGCCCCAAACGGTAAAAGAAAAATGGAACTGACGTGAGGTCTGTAATTCTCACGGAAGTGACTGAGGAGATTACAGTTTTCTGGAAAATGACACCGTGTAGTCTAGTATATATTCAACAAAGTTTTGAAGTAACTTGCTGCTTTCATCTCCAGCCTTCCATTTTATATCGTCTGTCCTGAAGATGGTAGCAGATGGTTGCAGGTTCCTCCGAGTCTTTGGTAAATATCCGTCAGACTACACGAAGCCATATCTACTCTTCTACCATTACAATGAAGGCAGCAGTCTCCCCTTCAACAAATAAATGTCTACGGTGTCACATTCGCGAAGACAGCCACCTTCACATTACACAAGCTAATTATACCACTGATGAGGGAAACTAAATAAGCACCAACAGTACCAGGGATTAGTAAGGATGTGGTACCACGAAGGGGGAAAGTGGAAGGGTTCAGCCATGAATCAGTTATTATTCAGCTAAGAATTTGATTTGATAAACAAGAGGGATAATTGCATTTCACATTTTGTCCCATGAACAGTTAGGTATGACAAGTGCTATAGTTTCGATGCAGTCTTTCTACCTTTAGGTCTGGAGCACGCCAAGGAAACTGGCAACCGCGACTTCCGAGAATAATCGCCGATTTCAAGAAGGCAACTGGTTTCCAGATTAGCAGGCGCACACTGAGGAAACTTACGTTCGATTAGTTGCTCACATCATCTCAAGTGAGTGTGATATGGTGGTCGTTGAGACGGCGTACCAGGCCGTGAAGGCCCATAGAGTTGTTAGACGTTGAGGGTCCCACATTATCTAGACAATCGGCTCAAAGATGACAGTAAGGTTGTCAGCCTTACGCGCTGGCCGCGCTTTACTCCCCGGAAAATTATTTAATTAATTCCTGGTACTAATTTCTGTTAGAGGCTGAGTAAACCCCAGGGCCTAGTGCGGCTGGAAGGATTAGGTCAACTGAAGAAAATCCAATGACCTCATCAGGACTTGAACCCGCGATCTGCCGGCTTCTAGCATAGCCCCTCGATGGTAATTATGGTACTAAAGTGTGGTATCTAAAATCTGATATCCAAGCTTCAAAAGTGAAGTGAAGATATAAGAATGGAATTCAGACATAAAGTTCTGGGAAGAACTAATCGCTTATTTCTTTTTATATGACAAGGACTACTTAGAGAATGATGCGTCCAGCTATTGGAGGCAATGTTTTCTCTGCGGTCTGCCCTGAAGTTATATAAACAGAACAATAACTGACTTTCAGGAATTAGAGTCAGCCTCCTTGTGTGAAGGCAGGTTAAAATACCTCCACCATAGCCTTGCCAGCTGTAGGAGGCGATGGAAAGTGGACCCAGTGCCTGGAGGTATAACTGGGCTACCCTGTTCATGTGGGATATAAATAAGGGGACCTGACCCTCCAGTATAAGCAACGTGCATATGAGTTTTATTTAATTCCTTACATTCATGCTGAAATGTTAACAAATGAGGGCTACAGAAAGAATACAGTAAATCAATGTATTACCAGGTTATATCAGCTTATATTTGTTACGTTGAGAAAACATACACACCCCATCTTTACACAAAGGCATGACCACAACGTCCTTTTCCAGTACACCTATGGGATGTCGATGCTCCAAAGGGACAACCACCGGGACTCGACACCAAGAAAGGCTGACCGTCAGTCACAACATGACTTTGACTTTGACTTGTTGGTCGCGATGTGACTTTGACTTGGCTTGATATGCCCTGGGAGTAAGAATTGTCTGGTTGACTGAAAGGAAAGGAGCTGTCTGTCCGATCGAAGGAGGTTGAGCTACCTGTTTGTGTGACCGAAGGAGTAGTCTGTTGGACTGTGGGAAGTTCCCACACTCCCACAGGGGCCACAAGCTGTGTGCCACTGACGTATTAGGAATTTGTATTCACGTACAAAAGGATGCCACAAAGAAGTTTCCATCTCCATCTGTAACTTCAGCTCCAAGTCAGGACTGTGAGTCCCAGATGCATTTTCGTCTTCATTGCCGTCATAATTGTATGAGTGCTCCTTAGGCAATTCGAGGAGTAGTTCCACGGGAGCCAGTTCCTTTCTGCATTTCAGATCTACCTTGAATGTTAAGTTATCGTAGAATGTACTGTTTAAGTCACGAAAGTCGTCGACATTGAAAATTACATCAATAAGTTCACTTAGGTCGATACCATGCATTTCGCCTTTAGTCATCATGCCAGTGTAATCATATTGGAATCTTGCGAAATCGAGCAACATATTTTGAAGCATTATGTGCTCTCTTACCGTCAATGGTTTCAGTGTAGCAACGCGACTACGCACATAAAACCGAAACGCTCCACGCGTTTTGTATTCGCCTTTTATATAACACCAACCCCCTTCGTCGATGTTCACAGTAATGTTTTTCTCGCAGTCCGAAATGCATTCAAGGAGGTCAATAACCTTGCTGCCAAAGAAGTATGGGCATTCTAACATATTTTGTGCGCAAATATCTTGTATTGATGTCGGATACATTTTTTTATAGAAGAGGTATATCCAGTGATTCACAAGATGATTGAATCTACGGAGATCCACTTTCATGTTTTCTCTTCCGATCGGCCTCAATCTAACGAGTCGCAGAATAGAACGGACCTCGTCGATTATTTCCCCTTTGAAATAGGAACTGGAATAACGAATGTTCTGGGGCGCTTCGCTTAGAAACAAGGGTCGGTAGCATACAGCCCTTAAGAGGCGCATTTTGTTGCAGATTACGTTGAGCAATTCGCGAGAGTCCATTTCGTCCACCTGCGGGGCAAGTTTACGTCCAACCCAGAGTATTTCTGTCTCGGTTGAGCCTGTCTCACTGTGCACATGGTTCCCAAGACGTGCATTTTCTTCCTGTACAAGAGCGGCCAGTTGACTTTCAGCATGGGTTTTAAGACAGCGGAATTCCCTATCGAGTATTCCGTCTCCAGCGTCTCGGAACCGTCGGCACACTTGACGCAATTTTGGAATCTCAGCGTAACTGAGCTTCAAAAGGATACACTCCAGGAGTTCATCGGGCAGGTGCGTTATCCCACAGTCAGTTTTCGTTACTTCTTCGTTTCTCGACGAACCGAGACTCATCTTCTTGATCAACTATGCGCTGTATGAAGAGTCGCTATCAGGAGGTCCCTTCGGTAATGTTTCCTCGCTCCGGTCTTGTGGAAAGACTGTTTCTGACAGCGAAACACTTCCTAGTGCGTAACTTGACGGTGAACTGTGTGCTGTATAGAAAACGCTTCAAACCGACACCTTGTACGGAGTTGGCTTTGTTTATCTCACACGAAATGATGCCCTTTAGGTTCTTGTTATATTATCACGATTTATGTGTAGTGACTGGATTTCCTGACCACTTATACACTCACGACTCGTGACTATACTTTACAGATCACTGTCACACACAGTGTATGTGACGGCCGCATAGAAAACACTGTTCTTCTGTTGCGGGCATTACCTAGCAACTGCCGCTGGTTAGAGAGTCACTGCATAGGAAAGGGTCTCGAAGCAACAATATTATACGTGTTAGAGTGACTATTGACGGGGTTTTGGACTGGAGATTTGGTTTACTGTCCACATACAGGCTGTTTTAACTTATTAGGCCTAGATAGGAAGTTGGATAAGCTCTCGAATCGTGCAGATGCTAATAAATTATTGCTCATTCATGGAGCCGTGCATTCTGTTGCGCGTTCTCATATTATAGGACGATATACTTGGATCACTGTTCGTCCGTCTGCGTGTATGAAACAAACCAAGGATTAAGTTTGGCATTAGGAATGTTGCTACAAGCTTCTGGGACGTGAGGCCATGCAACGGGAAAGAAACAAGCAGTGTCATTAATGAAGAACCAGATTACACGGCGTTACGTCACAGAAGTTAGTACTACTTATAAAACCTGTAGACATATTTTAATTTTGATTAAAATCACATAAACAATAAAGGACACTACTTGAGGACATGCTCTTTTTTCCTAGGGCATATCGAACTTAAATCTCGCGTACAGTAAACCCTCGCTAATTCGGTTACAGTTAATCCGAATGCCGGATAATCCGCATCAAAATATGAAAGATTACTAATTTGTTTACAGTTGCGTACATGCTTCAAAAGACACGTGGGATTTTGGACCAATAGGGCTTTCAGATTGTGTTGAGTGCAGCTGGAGAGACTGTAACCGCGCAAGTAAATATCCAAGATTGGCTTGAGCTGGTTGAAGGAAACCCTGAATTTCAGTTTCTTGTCTTTTTTTACTTTTTAAATAAAAGCTCTACACAAATTTTATTTATTTATTTTTATCAGCACAATCTGTATTATTACATTTTCCATTTATTTGTTTTCTAAGTTGTTTTTGACTTTGGGGGATATATTTTGCTTGTGTAATCCGGATGACAACCCCCACCCCTAGTTAATCCGGATAAGCGAAGATTCGCTGTAATACCAGCTATAGAAATGTTTCGAGTGGAAACTGTAGAGGGAAATGAAACATTTTACGCCCAGTGCATGTTTTGTATAAGTGACGCGGTTTTCGAGATAATTAAATAAAACGCGAATACACCAGAATTATCACGATTTGCCTTCACTTCTTAACTTCCTAAATTAGGAATTATCTGGATGTTACAATTATGATGAGAGAGACAAGCCCAGGTGCCCGCGCGCCCCTTTCGTGTTCTCAGGAGCGGAAGTGGTTTCTCTTAACTCTGTACACGCTCCAGATCAGCAGAAACGCTCGCGGGAATGCGACCAAAATGTATCGAAAGAAAATTACTACAGTGTAAAGGTGAAGTTGTCACTATCCTTAATTAATAAACTTCCAGGTCATGAAGACATACGACGGAGTGGGATATAGCTCCACAGTCTTCACCTTGTCACTAGACGTAAGTGAGAGATCATCTCCACGGTCCGGCCGCTTTACCCCGGGGGAAAGATTGCGCACTAGCCATTGGATTGAATGCTGGGTGGGCCCCAGATTAGGTCTGAACACTGAGGAGAAGTGAAGAATCTTGCCTCTGTCCGTAATCGAACACTAACCATCCAGTCGGTAGCTCGTCACTATACCGACTGAGCTATGCTGTCCTGGCTCCGTATTATGATAGGGTACGCTCAATTTGTTCCTACATACATCGTTGTGGGGAAAGATCGTTACGACGTCTTGCAAAATGTCTTGCTCAGAATTGAATGCTCCTGAACTAAGGATTCGGGGCCTACCCGGAAGTACTACCCATTCCATTCTCTGTTGCTTGGTGCCGGTGGAGCACCCCTGAGATCGACATCATGTCCGCAACTCCCTTGCGGGCCAGTCATCACTTGTTCCTATGATTGCTATTTTCTAATCCAGTAGTTAA